GATGGATGGATGGATGGATGGATGGATGATAGTTGGATGATGATGAAGGATGGATGGATGATGGATGGTTGATGGATGGATGATGGTTGGATGATGGTTGGATGATGGTTGGATGAAGTATGATGGATGGATGATGGATGGATGATGGATGGATGATGGATGGATAATGGATGGATGGATGATGGATGGATGATGGATGGATGATGGTTGGATGATGGTTGGATGATGGATGGATGGATGATCAGTGGTTTTCAGAGGCTCCTATAGTCACAGCTGGAGGTTTTGACTATAACAACTGTACTAACAAACTGCATGTGTACTCACATGCTGAGTGAGTATTTAGTGTGGCAGTAGCTGAGAGTCATCTGCAGTGCATACTCTGAGCATTAACAGATTGAAGATTCTCAATTTTGTTGCACAGAAAGTTTTAAAATTTTGACCAAAACTCATTTTTACAAAAAACATGATTTTATTTTAATCTTTGGTATAAAAGATGTCGAGCGATGTGCATTTCTTCAGTGACTGCTCGGCCTTTCATTTAGAGGATGTTCTACAAGGCCAGCTGTTGAAACATCCATGTCTCCGGTTGCTGAGGGATTTGAATAGTGAATGTTTGTCATTTTTGCAATGAGTGTTTTTTTGTACCAGAATAGAACAGGGAATGTAAGTAAACCTTAATGTTTTTGGTGCAATATATTCAAGGGGTTAGGAGTTACACTGTTTGTACGAGTAAAGGTAGTTTTATTTTTATTTATAGCTTGTCCAAAGCACCGCAGAGTGATGGATCCTGGCGAATGGAGGGAGCAGTTTTATCCACCACCAGATGCAGTGATGGAGCCAGGGGGTGGCCAGTGGTGGCCTTGGTCACTCTAGATAAATCTTGGCCCACCTCAATTGTTTAAGGAAACTTTACTTTTAAGCAAAATAAAAACTAGAACGTGCAGTTTTCTTAAATTATGGGGTGGTCAGTTGACATGTGTATAAGGGGGTGGTCATTTAGGATTCTGACCTGGCAACATTTTCCTGGTGGCATTTTTTACACCTAGACGCAGCCACACATCAAAATGGAAGTTGGTACCGCATCTATTTTTCACTTTATCCAGCTCAAAAGATGCACAGACATTTATGGTGGCAGCCATCTTGGATTCTGATGTGACAATCCAATTTTTCAAAGGAAACTTTCTTAAGCCCAGATGTAGCCACACACCAAAATAAAAGTCTCAACTCGCTTCTTTTTTAAGTAATCATGCTCACAACATGCAAGGATGGACGGACGGTATTTCCAGTTCCCCCTTTTCGCTCCACGACATTAAGTTTCCAGCTTTTGATTTTTTCCCCACAGATTAAAACAATCAACCAAACAACATCAAACAGACATTTTTACCAATACATGCATTTTGTCAGTGGTTGTAAATGATGTGGGCGACACCATCATTGTCACATGGATATAAAATCAGAACCTCGTTGTTTACATAAACAACAAGTGTTCAGGGCGGCTGTGGCTGAGTGGTTAGAGCAGTCGTCCTCCAATGCGAGAGTTGGGGGTTCGAATCCACCAGCAGCCACATGCCGAAGTGTCACTGGGCAAGACACTGAACCCCTCATAGCCTCTGATGTGTGTCCCATCAGTGTATGAATGTGATGAAGCTCTGATTAGTCTCTTTAGAATGATTTGTTCAATTATCTTTGTAGAGATCTATTTCATCCAGTCCAATTCATTAGACGTAGAGATGTTCACTTACAGAATAAACAGGAAGCAATCAATCTGTTTGTGTAGCACAAGTGAATGAGAAGTTTCTAGTTCTCACCGTTGGCCCTCAGCCTGGTCCTGGTGGTTCTGCTGAGGCGAGTCTGGGGCCCCAGGGGCCGACGTGCTGCTGGGGGTCATCAGGGAGGATGGAGAGCTAGATACTGAGGTTTTCTCTGTCACAGCTGCATCTGCTGGACTGTCCCCTGTGGGCTCTGTGTGAATGAAACAAGCAGCCATCTTACAGCAGGACGGAACTGTTGGACTCCTTGGATGAAGTCAACAACCGCTCCAGCACTTCAGGCGTCTACTAACCCGCCATTAGGACGCTCCTTGCAGAGGATGAGCTGGCCTTACCTTTGGCTTCAAGGCAGTCCAGGTGTTTCTTCCAGTGCCGGCTGAGCTCTCGCACCAGGGCCTCGCTGTCCGGGGCTGAGCTGTGGAGCTGCTGCAGCCGTTCCTCCAGGGAGTGCGAGGCCTCCAGCACAGGAGCTGGATCTGAGAGGAAAAAAGAAAACGACATCACCGGGATTCATATAATACAGACTGCTACTTTTCAAAAAAAGCAAAATAGCAGTTTTACGAGGCGCGCTGTGTAAAGCACATTACAGAGTTCTCTGCATTTCAGACTATTCCACAGAGACTTGTTTCCAAAGAGTGACTCTTAGACTTTCCTCTCAGCCGCCTTTGAACATTTCACAGGCTTGGACCTAATGACACAAGTTCTGCTCAGGCCCACGTGTTTGAGGAATCAAATCTAATTAGTCTTCTATCGCGCTGATAAATGGCAAGAACAGACAAAAGGATTATAATAAATATGTGACAGAAGTGCCAAGTATACACCTAGGTAAAGTGTAGAAATAGTGCACTCCTGAAAAGGGGGTGGAAAAAATAAAAAGGAGGGATTCTTTAGCACAACAGAGGAGCTGTTTTGCAATGCATGCGCGGCAGCACAGGGCCCATGGGGCCAACTAGGAGGCTGTTTCTCAGCTAACAAGTCTCCTCTGTATCATTTGATCATTTAAATTATTATGCCAGGAATCCTCAGGAGGCAGCTCGGCACTCCACATCACACGGCTGTTTTTAATCTTCCTCTTCTCTTTCTTCCTCTCCCCAAAAGTTCAACAGCTCAGAGAGAGAGAGCTGCTCCTGTTGTGTACCTGCCTGCCGAACACCAAAGGAGGTGACTTCTAGTGCCAAAGCACAGAGAGGCAAACTCAGGGGAGCTCCATGACAAGGGGGGAGGCGAGATGTGGAGCCACGTGCACGCACGTGCACACACGCACACACGCCAGCCCTTCAAAACTCCAAAAGAGGAAAATCGCTGCTTTGCTGCACAAACTTTTCTCCCACAGCTTTCATCCACTCATCTTAAGACTTGTGTGTGGAACCCAATTGGATCCCTTCTTCTGCGCGGGCACCGACAGAAGTGACTTCATATAAGAAGTTGG